CATCTCAAATTTATTCACGTATCATACTCAATTTTCGACTCATGTTCACTAAACGCCCTGAGTACCTCTAGTTGGTGCGGCACAATCATTTTCGCATATTATGTTATTTCTAACCCCCGCCTGGCTACGTCATCTAAAAATTAGGTCACTAAGACGTCACAATCACGTCACAGAACTTGCGAAAGAAAGCTACGATCGCCCTAAGGCCTAAATGGTATCTCCGCCGTCGATAACCACCAACTCGCTAACGCCAACGGTCTCTCTCATATATCGGGATTGTTACGACGAGAAAACGAGAGAAATAGCTTGCTTGATCCCGGATGATCGTGCAGCCAGGGGTGTCAAACTCGCAACCCGCGGTCCGCATGTGGCCCTTTGGAACTTCCAATGCGGCCCTAAGGCCTAAATGGTATCTCCGCCGACGATAACCACCAACTCGCTAACGTCAACGATCTCTCTCATATATCGGGATCGTTACGACGAGAAAAATAGCTTGCTTGATTCCGGATGATCGTCTAAGCCAGAGGTGTCAAACTCGCAGCCCCCGGGCCGCATGTGGCCCTTTGAAACTTCCAATGCGGCCCTCGAACACTTAACAATTATTTATTATATTTTTAATTTTTTTCATCTAAATGTAATACATTTTTCAAACCTTTCGATTGAAATTGATTATCCAGGCAGAACACGACAATTCACAGAAAGCAGTATTTAAAAATTACAATTTTTTTTTGTTCTCGTTTCGACCCAATTATGGATACACCTCAAGTTAGCAAAAGAATACTTGAAAACAAAAACATTTCAGTGATTAGGAAGAAACGCACACTACATGAAGAAGGTCGCACTTTTTCAGACAGCTATGAACTTAGCCAGAAGGTTGCAGTCTCTGACGGAAATCCTTTTACTGATGGAGCTTCCATAATGGGATTGCCTTGTAAAAACAGTTGAAACTTTTCAAAAAATTATTGTTGACAAATAATACAGTTGCTGCTAGAATTGATAAGATGTCCGAAAATTTAAAAGAACAAATAAAATTAGCTTCTGCTGACATTGAATATTTTTCCTTAGCAATTAATGAAATGTGTGATATATCAAGCACTGCACAACTTGCGGTCTTTATCCGAGCTTGTGATGCTAAGTTGCAAATGAAGAAGGAATTTCTGAAATTAATCAAAAATTCTCTACGATCAGAATTAATTAATAATCATGTGAACTGGTTAATAACAGTTGGTAGCTCACTGTAAAATCATCTCAGCCTGATGTAAGTAAGCTGGTGGCCCAAAAGAGATGCCAAACGTCAGAACAAATGTATCAAAAAACATTAAGTTCATTCTGTATTTTTGTTAATTTTAGGTGTATTTGGAATAAGTCATTTTTAGTGTATGTATTATTCTTTCCTTATCAAAAGTTTGTTCAAAAATGTTTTGGCTTTTGGAATAAATACAGTAAATTGCAATAACAGCGAAATGAAAGAAATTATTATGCAAATGCCTTTTGGAATCAAAAAAAATAGCAAAACTTTATTTGGCTGTTTAACTACATCACAACATGTATCACAAACTATACCTATCTAAAAATATGCTTAAAGTATATATTATCAAAATATATCAAGAGCTGTTTGCGGCCCTTGGCGCAATTCCCAATATGGAATGCGACCCTCGAATACCCACGAGTTTGACACCCGTGGACTCTATGCGTTTTGGACGATAATCCATATACTTTGACGGGCCTTATTTTGTTACTGTGACGCTGTATTGACGTAGTCAAGTGGGGGTTAGTAAAGACATATGCAAAAATGGTTATGCAACGCCAACTAGAAGTACTTGACGGCGTTTAGTGAACAAGCCCCCAATTTTATTGTTACTTCATCGCGGCGCTCTATTTTCAACAACGCAGTTTTTTTATTCTAATTTGGAGGTGTTCTTTCTAAACGAGGTATGTATTTTTTTTTTAATTCAAATGACATTAAAATGCAGATATTGCAACTTATTCTCAATATTTAACGCTCTCAACACTTTGTGCAATTTTTTCATGCGGAAATTAATTCGAACTTCTATTCAACAAAATACTAGGTAACAAATCGGAAGAAGATTACAAGAGAACGATACTCAAGCATATCGATACGAAGGCCAAAGCGAAGCAGTAGTTTACCTCACCTCATACAGTACCTTATCTAGTCAACTTTACGGTACAGTAAAAAAAAACTTCACGTAGCACGAAAGATGGCGCAGAGTCGCTATAAATATTATTTTATCAATTTTGAAAAAGTCAGCACACAAAATTTTAAAGTGAAAAACGAATCACTTAGAGCCCACAGGAAGTTTTAAAAGAAATCAAAGTAATAGAGAAAAATACTAGCTGTAACTACAGTAAATTTCAAATTGGCAACTGGTCCATTAGTTATTGAGAAGAGGGATTTTTTCATAACGATAACGCAATGCAAATATAAAATGCATTTGTAAAATCTTGTAATATAATTTTCTCACATACACTGTAGCAGGTTCCATTCATTAGATACGAGAGAGATAAGACGGTATATTTTTTAGTTATAACCAGTAGTGGGATTCAGCCGATTCGCACCGGTTCTATAGAACCTTCTCACGGAATTTTATGAGATCAGCGAACCGGTTAGCATTACATGACATTTTGTAACAGAACCGCCTGAAAATTCGATATTTGTATGATGGAACCGGCTGACAACAAATTTGAATCCCAGCACTGGTTATAACTGTTAAAAAGTCTGGAGTGTAACGTTTGAGACCAAAACCATATTGTTCATCAGTCACAAGACTATGCAATTATAGCTGGTCAGTAATGTCAGTGTTGATAAGAAATTTGAATATTTTGCGTACGTTAAAAAAAGATAAGTGGGTCGATATTTACCAGGATCCGTCGATTAACCCCGATCTAAAGCGCGAACAACGGTAGCAGTCTGGAAAAGAGGATTCATCTTTCAGGGCCATCATTTAAAACCAATGCAGGTATATCTTCTTGGCCGGGAACAGTTGACGAGCTGAGACTAGCACTTGCGCGAGAAACTATGCCAAGTGTTAATAAACTTTATACAAATTAATTTTGGTACGTTAAAATATTCAAAAAAATTATACTGATTAAGTTCTAGATTTGCAATGTGAAAAATACCAAGCAGCAGAATGTTGCGTTAACTGATACCGTCGGTGAGTATGAACTGTTCAATACCAGTAATCAGTCAAAGCCCAATACCTGAGATGCAGGATCCGACTGGTAAATGCTATGAATTTGGATTTCACGGGAAGCTATAAAACATTTGCATATGTTTAAGAGAACGTCGAGAAGATAAAGGTTGATTGAGATACGCTACAGCGGAGGTCGGCGATCTAACTCCCGCGGGCCGGATCCGGCATGCATCTCCAGAAAAATTATTTCACTATCATCGTAGGATGGACAGAATAACACTGTAAAGTATTTCATACAAACTTTTTTGATGCTGAATTGGATCCAGGTCTATATATTGAATGTTGGATACCAAGTGGACCTATGAGTTGGTAAATCGTTGTTTCAAGTATCCTTCTTGTTGTGAAAAATCACTTTCGTTTTAACTGTTGGACCTTTTGCTTTGAATTGCTTTCTTTCAGTGGTTAAAGATTTTGTTTTTGCTGAAATGCTGGTATTTTTATTTATTCCAAAAATTTCTGCTGGCTCCACACAAATTTCGTTTTTCACTCTGAAATTTCATGCGATGACGTCATAAAAAGTAAAAATTGCGTACCGTTACTGTAATAAATATGATGCTTTTTTCGTTTTGGCCATCGTGTCCATGTATTTGAGAATTGCCCTCATGCTTTTTACAACATGAAAATATCTGCTACTTGGGACAATTTGTTTGAGAATGATGGCCCGTAAAACTATCAATTTTTTTATAAAAATATCTTTTAATGTTACTTTGCCCATTTCATTGTTTATTACTAAAAGCGTTTTTGTGATACAATTGCAGGTCTGATAAGAATTGTATCGTAGGTAATTTATCACTCTATGCAGTATTATTACCAAATCAAATATGCTTATCATTATTACAAATCAATATGAAATGCATGAAGGTCAAGTATGTTACCTTTTCCGATTTCAATTCAGTCATGTGATGCCGAAGGTCAGACTATTTAAAGTATGAGAAAACCGATGAATGAGAATGGTTTTTATAATATCAATACATTCATACGGAATATTGACAAATAAAAGCATGAAGCAACATCTCAAGGAGCGGTATCCGTAGTCGCAAGCAATAAAACATGATCAATCTTTCTTATTGGCTGAGTTTTTCAATCGAAAGCAACCATTCAGCATCTCTTCATACTTTGCTATATTCTTAAAATCAGAACACAATATTTTGGCGTTTAGACAATGAAGTAATATCGTGGACCCTCGAACAATCGCGACATTTAATATAGTATACTTTTCATGAACTTCATATCAATATATTTTTGAACGTCTTGTTTGTTTATTTCACTATTCATCCCGGAATATTTATTCAACATTAGCGCGAATCCACTTCGTGTTGCGGAAATTTATGTTTCTGAATATGTCGTCAAGTTTTAAACGCGAGTAAAACTCACATGAATATCGTGATTCGTGAATAGCACTTCACCTTTGGTTTAATTTCCATGTAACCCCGTAGCGAACTGAATATATCTCCTGCGAATATCAGCAATTTGTTAACAAATCTCAAAAATAATAATTTTGTCGTAGAAGTTTTACAACGGCTTATCATTCAATAGGACATATTACAGTCTAATTGTTCAATCAATTAATATTAATATTGATGATAAGAATAACAAACAATAATATACCGAGAGCTTTCTGGGGAGAGCTACACCAATAGATTATTTTTAAAAAATTCCCATGTTTCAGAGATTATTTTATATTTTTTTTTGTTTTCAAGCTTATACTTTCTATGTTTGATACCAGTGCTCTGAGAACCGATTAGACCGGAAATTATTTTGTGTATAAATTTATTAAATATAAAATAAGCAGTACTTTAAATACAGTGACTAAAATATATAAAAGTGCAGTAGATGTGTTAGAACAGTGATTGAAATCAAAATTACAATCAGTAAATCAAAAGGTATAACAGCCAGTCTTACAATAAGGGAATCAGTTATGAGAGAAGTAGATCGTCAGTTTTAAACAAGGCTGATTTATGGGATTGCTGAGAAAAAAAATAAGAAAACTGGTGTAGAATTATATCACCAACTTACTCAAATTCCTAGTTACTAGAACGTCGGTAAATTGTTTTTTTTTGGTCCAATACTGTTAACCAATTATATTCAGATTCTTGTGCGACGTCTCAGGCTGTGACAATATTTTGTTTTTCATATTGCTTGTGCCATGGTGTATGCCATTCTGGATGAATCTGAAAGTCGTACCGAGGGGGTTTGGAAGGAGAAGCAAACATGGTTGAATAATCCGTTATATGAAAATGCGGTCCTTTCATTGGTATCTGCCTCTTTGGAGCACTTCGGAAGGCTTCGATTAATCTGGTGACCGCGTCGTTTTCTGGTGAAATAAAAAAGCTCGTTTTATTTTCTTCTATCTATAAACAAATCTAAGACTACGAATAAATAAGACAGGGTTATAACTTTGTATTATTAATAGTTAAATATTCGTGTAATCTGAACTCAGTAGTTTACAATCATAATATTAGATTTATTACATATAACTTTAAATACATATTATAACTAATAAATATACATTTAACTTTTTTAGGAAAACGAGACACAATTTTGTCCAGAATTTGTTCGGTGAAAGAGATTGTATGAAATACGTGCGAAAGATGATTTCAACTAAAAATCTACAATTCTCGATTGCAACTGTCGTCAACACAATAACGAAATTGTTGACTGTACTGAGTATACATAATACATGCACAAATTTTCTCAATTCCGATTGTAACTTTCAAGGATATATTAGTTGAGTTGCCTCATTCGAATCGTTTTGTTTTCTCCGTACTCTGCCAATTCAAGTTAATATACACAAACCTTCTCGTCCTGCAGGTTTCAGCCATCGATTTGAAGAATAAATCCTTTCTGTTTCTTTTTCCTGTTTTCCTGCAATTTGTCGCAAAGAGACAATTTGTTGGCGACGACGTAAACGCCTTCGCTTTTCTTGTTCTCGTGAAAAATCGTTCTGTTTTGTCTTTTGTGCAGCCTCATCGATTACGTGAAGAATTTCTCGCCGATCTGGTAAATATATGGATATTTTATCACATTTATCTGTTTGGTATTGTTTTAAATACCAATTGCTTTTATTAGCAAGAATATTCTTAATTGGGATGGGCGTATATTCTGTATATACTGTATATTCTGAAATAAGTATTGTTTCAGTCGTCATAATTAAATAGTATAACCAGATAGTTGCAGTCTTTCAAGAATCAAATTATTGATTGGAAACAGTTTTTGGACACATAATTTAAGCAGTCACCGTTTTACTAAATTGGGGATTGTCTTCATGATATTGCCCAATGTTTTCTATGTCACAGAAAATAGAAAGTTACATTTTTTTCCAAGAAAAATAAATCAATGTCCGCCATTTTAGAATATCACGTCATACATGTTTATATTACAACTTATTCTCAGTATGCTTAAACTCACCAACCATAAATATAAAATGAAACCAATAACCTGCCTCGGAAATTTTGAACGAGAATACTTGTAAAGTGTTTATGTCTGGCTTCACACCACAACAAGTCGTTTCAAGATTTTATCAGATATTTTTGTCAGTAACGAACTCAACTGAAAATATTCGACCCAAGTTGAATAAACCTCACTTGACATTTAGCTTGAGATAGCACCATATATTACAGAGAAACAAATTGACTTTTGTTATATACAAATGTTTTTTTTTAAAGTATGAAAGTTTCACTTTTTTCCACTCATGATGTCAATTTGAATGACACTGTTCGCCCGTAACTTTGATCAGATCTGATCACTTTGTGTAATCACCTTCTTTGTGTAAATTTGCATATAATAAATTAACCTTAAAAATTAGGTACTTTGAGTTTAGCGTGCTTAGATTTAGCAAATATTAAACATTTCCTTAACTTTCATCACCTCTATAACTCGCAATAAACTGAACGCTTTGATATACTTCTATTTATCGAACCTATGAGTTAAATATGTTTCTTCCATTCATAAAATATGTCACTCATATACTTTATGGTGAATCCCAACTAAATCAATTTTGAATCCGTTTTATAGATATAGTATGATGGACTGAATAGCACAATAAATTTAGTATACTAACCTTTGTCATTGCTAAGTTTTATCCACGCCTCGGTTGCTTGCCCAGGAACCTGACCCATAATAGTAGTTATTTTTTCGCGGGCTTTATTTGTTGCGATGGCATCTGCGGTTTGCGGACGTACTGGTCGAGGATGATGACCCATTGCAATAGCAATTTTCTGTCTGTTTTCTTGTATATATCTTTCCAGATTATCTTGTCCATTTTCTAAATTAGATTGCAGAAAATTTGTAATAACGTTCGTTTCAAAACTTGCTCAAAAATTATGACATCATACTATATAATTGTGATGTGTCTCATTTTCAGCTTGATGAAATCGTACGTATGTCACTGATGTCAGTGTAATTAAGTCATTTCCATCTTGTAGCATGACAATGTATTAGTATTAACAAAAGGGTGGCTTATATACAAAGCAACTCGTAATAGAATATACACCAAACGAACGTGATCATTTTATTTTTTCAAGATGATTTTATAAAGTTCATAGAAAAACGTCTACAACATCTGCGTGTTTTATCTTTTCTGCATTATTTTAGCGTATTTTTAGAATGGTTCAAATCGCAAAAAGTCAGATTTCAATAACTACTACTCAATATTCGTTGCCGTATGTCTGTATATTGTAAAGTTTGCATCTAGTTCTTCCAACTAATTACTAAAAGATGAATGTGAATACATGTTATAATCTTATACATGAATACGGAATATTGAGAAAACAATGAACTAACATCGCTGGGCTTGGTCACGTAATCAATCTGTCATGTTGGCGCATCGAAAAATTTTCACAAAATGAATTTGCCTATATTTTTAATAACTTTCTAATTAATAAACAGTTGGAGACTCAGACAAAAGGTCTTCAATGAGTATTTCTTTGTTTCAAGTTTAGCAATTAACGTGCAGCAAGACTCATTGTTCAAAATATGCATGTAATCGCTTTTTTTTATAGTTGAGTTATGTATAGGTCTGAGATAGTCTGAAATTGGTTAGACGGAATGTTACAGAAATATAAATGTGTTAATGTGCATCAAGACTGGTGAATCACTTGTATGATTATGATTTTATATTTTAGACCTTACCGCCATATCGTGGTGTGGCTGCAGCTTCCGGTTTAAAACATCCTTGTATATTTTTGAGCCTAGTGACGAGGAAGACCCTGCAAGAATATTTTACATAAAACGTATTGTGTATTTAATCACGAACTTCATTTTAAAATATTTCAATCGCATGTCAAGCTAGCTTAAAAAGATAATGATATAATGCAATATTGATGTTCAAGATGTTTCGAAGATATTAATCTCACTGTTTTCAGAGTTATGTGTGTATCATATCAAATTCGCTGAAATGAGTTTCATCCGCCTTGATATGTAATAGCCAAAGATCGTCTTACTAATCGTTTTACTGATATAAATCAGTAAATTGAACTTTATTTCAAATTTTCAAGAATATTACACTGCAGACAAACTCACAAACTTGGAAAACTAAATTTCCAGGAGTGCCTGATGCCATTCGTTAAAATATTAAGACCATGCGATATAAACTATATAATGTAACGCAAGCAGAGCGTGAAATTTGACAAAAATGCAAAATACTTAAGCTCACTTAAATCTTATGTTAGATCTTGGCACTATTGATAGCGGAATATTTATACAAATAACATAGTTTATATAAGTACGAAAACCACTTCATGTTACGGAACTTTGAGCTAATAAATGTCACATCAAATCTTATGAGATAAGACAGCAATCTCGACAATTTTCTTTATATATAGTTCAAAAGATATATTTTGTAATTCGGATTACATTGATTGTTATAAATTCATTCTCATACAATGTACACAAAGTGTTTTTTCTTAATTTTGTTCCTTATCTATGGTTAAATGCAAACAATTGTTCAATTTATTTGAATCAATTTATCTATAAAAATATGTCAAAATATATACCCTGGAGGATGTGGTTTATTCAGTCTTGTCGGAGAGGAAGGGCGAACAAGTTGGCGTGTTGGCTGATCCAACAACTTTTCTGCGTGCAAACCGCTATAGGTTGTAACAGAATGATCACTACGCTCGATTTCGTCTCTCCAGTCTTTTCTTGCAGTGTCCTTAAATAAATAGAAACCATCATTTCAGGATAAATATTTGCTTTTCTACAAAATTCTATTCTATTTCAAATTCTAATTCTATTTATTCACATCATTCGATTTAAAACATACAATAAACGATGAATATTATATTGCCAATGCTTAACGTGCCTAAAATGAAGTTACGTAAAATTGCAAAATACAAGAAATAACCTACCCTTATTTTCTTGCATTCTTTTGGGTCTAGTGGTCGTAGCATCTCTTTCAATCTTTGCACGTCTGGTGGCGCAGACGCAGCTCTCAGAAATCTCTGATTTCTATCTACTTTACCGACACCCAATCCAGGAAGTGGGTGGGCATATGCCATATCTATTTCTATTTTTTATTAAATAAATTAAAATAAATTCAATAGTTGCCCTGTGATAAAAAAAATGGTTACTACAGTTAATAAAGCTTAAATTTAGTATCAACTCTGGTTTGGTCTTGATCCGACATTCCAGTCAAAGATCACAATGCGTTCGCGATTCAAAACCTATTATGGAAATTGGAAATTCTTTTCTTAAATTTGTATTACATTATCTTTATTGAATATTTTATATATTTCTATCTATTTCTCACAATACATTAATTTATACTTCCCGTTCTATGTGAGTACAAAAGCTGCTTTGTTATTCGTTTATACATGATTCTTGCATAAACCGGCAATATCAAGAGAACCTAATTAAATAGTGAATACGCCTACAACTGTTGTTATGAAACAGCAGACAGAGTAGCGCTTATTTTGCCGTAAACATTCCTTCAGATGACCCTGTAAATTTATATAGGCAAGTAAAATAAACAGACGATCTAAGACTGCGCTAAACTTCAATTTATAACTCTCAAAATGTGTTATACCAATGAACAGGTATTCTATACGAAGTATTATAGCTGATTAGTGCCGTTACGCGAGTGTTTGACCCGCGGTTAGCTGAGTAAACAATGGATCTGTATCGTGAAATAGAATCTGCCATTGTAAGCGTCAGCATTATTTAAATGACACCTATTGTGTTTCACTATTGTATTCCTGTCCTTTAATTTAGGCTAGATTTGTTGCTATGTTAACGTCTCGGGGTAAGTGAAGCGTGCCATGGAAGCAAATAGGCTATATTCTCGAATATTTGACTTAAATGCGTCCTGTGCACAAGTGCTATAAACATACAGCAGCACTATGATATTATATGTTCAAAATAAACGTAAAATACTGAGAAAAACAAAAATGATGATGTAATTCTCTTCCAATTGTGTAGAGTTTGAATTTTTTGCACGGCAACCAAATCAAGAAGGTACCAGGGGCACTTCGGCTTCGCACGCTTTATAATGGTAATTGGTTTATCACATGAAAACCGTGCGATACTTTTCAATGGTATATATGGAATGGGATTTAATTTATGTTTTACGAATATTCTGCATTTTAACCAATAAATAATCGAGGCATCAATATTCCGAACTGTGATTTAAAAAAAGGTGACGGTAACGCGCATAGATTCGATCAAAAATATACAATCTATACATATTCTACAGTTACTCATTTTCCGTTCTTTCAAAACAGTTTACTTTTTTAATAGATTAAAATGAAATTATCAAAATGAAAGATAGTTTGACTTTGGGGAAAAATAAAATGTGGCGATGAGTGATGCATAAATTTATGTGGTTAGTCAATTACAAATTAATGAGCAGATATCATAATACATTATATATATAATCCGATTGAAATGATTACAGCACAACATATATGTCTCATCTTATATATGTACTCTCCAGGCCAAGGTGAGTCGAAACAATTCAACACAATTTCAAGTGTATTTAGTTCACTTTTCCGAAAGATGTTCTGGCTGATATTGTCAACGTGTCAAACTAATATCACGCAATCTTACGCATTTCGAAACCTCTGATTATGTTACTTCACATGGTGTTGTTCGCAAGTTGACAAGCGATAACATCAAAATGAACCAAAGTACATGTTGTTTGAGTATAGAATACGCGTTAGATTCTAGTCTCGGAGATTGGGAAATAGTTATCAACTGTTTGGTAGTAGGTTTCGTAATATCTTTAAAAATATGCAGAAATATGGTCTGAACCACATATATAGCGAATTAGGTTCTGTTAAAAAAGTGTTTGAATTTTGTACAGTTTTTTGTATAGCGGATTTTGCATGAACCCACATACGATTACAAAAAACAAGCTAAAATGGGCGCAATGGATAAACATATCGAGCCTATATCATAAATAGACAATGATACAATACTGCTAGACTCTAGAGCAGTAGTTCCTAACCTTTTTTGCATATTTTACCCTTTCATCAAACAAGATTACACGATTTACCCCCAATACAGCCATTAGTGATCTTCAATTAAAAACTTCGTCAAGCAGAGTATAAAAAGCTCTAAATTTAGAAAGAAAATCTCACTTTTTCTTTCCCTTTCTATCTATTCATTTACCCTATCTTCTCCTCTGTATTGAGCTGTAGTTCGGCGTGAAAAAATGGGAGCGTGGGGTTCGGTCGAAAAAGTTCCATTGTTTGAGGTGCTTTCCAATATACATGGTCAGGCGGGTTTCACCAAGCGTATTTGCCTTTTTTAGCTTTTGCCACATACAAAGCAATTACAAACAGGACAATCTTAACCTAAGAATAGAGTAGGTTTTATGATATTGTTTGAAAAGATTTTCATGCACAGAACACACTGGGGAATATGTTGACCAGCGTTTCCCAACCTTTTTTGGTCGCGGACTATTTTCTCACTGGCGAAAACCTTTGCGGACTCAAGGTGCGTTTATTGCAACCGTACTCCGTGTGAAGAAGCAATAAAACCTAACACAACGGAATTTGAACAAATTTCAAAATCGGAAATTCTCGGCAATTACGCGTCCGTTAAAAGAGCCGACTTTTTTTAATGTAATGGCCTTTTCTGTCGCACTATATTCAATCCATAACAACGACGAGAATTGAAAATGTCTTTCTATTTTAATTGGGTTCATGGTAACTCGCCTTGCCAGATTATATTTTGTTTTGATTCGTACTTTCGAATCATTTTTCGTTTTCGTTTATTCGAATTCAATAAATCTGAGCTGTTCGTACAACGCTCACGGCGCTCCAGTACTGTACGTACCAATGTGGGGACCTGAAGGAAAATGCCCTGGTACATATACTACAGTATCATCCAAAATTTTGCGACTTGCAATTTCTAAAGAAGCGTTTTTAATCGGTCGCGTACAATCATAAAACAAAAGTTATGAGGCTCACCATTTTATTTTTAATTTAGAAAATTTAGGTTTCTACCATTGACACCTAACATAAAAAAAATTTGTTCCTCGTTGTTCGAAATCGCGAGATACACCCCGCGTGTGCTCGTGTTTTCGTCGAAAATTTGCAAGTGAATTGTGAAATTCAAAAATGAAGATGTATTGGATGATTTAATGATGATAATCGCACGCTTTATAATGGTAATAACTTTATCACATGAAAACCGTGCGATGCTTTTGAATGGTATGTATGGAATAGGATTTAATTTATGTTTTACAAATATTCTGCATTTTAACCAATAAATAACCGAGGCATCAATATTCAGAGCTGTCATTTGAAAAAAGGTGACGGTAACGCGCAAAGATTCGATCAAAAATATACAATCTATACATATTCTACAGTTACTCATTTTCTGTTCTTCCAAAACAGTTTACTTTTTTAATAGATTAAAATGAAATTATCAAAATGAAAGATAGTTTGACTTTGTAGAAGATAAAATGTGGCGATGAGTGATGCATAAATTTATGTAGTTAGTCAATTACAAATTAATGAGCAGATATCATGCTACATTATATATATAATCCAATTTAAATGATTACAGCACAACATATATGTCTCATCTTATATATGTTCTCTCCAGGCCAAGGTGAGCCGAAACAATTCAACACAATTTCAAGTGTATTTAGTTCACTTTTCCGAAAGATGTTCTGTCTGATATTGTCAACGTGTCAAACTAATATCACGCAATCTTATGCATTTCGAAATCTCTGATTATGTTACTTCACATGGTGTTGTTTGCAAGTTGACAAGCGATAACATCAAAATGAACCAAAGTACATGTTATTTGAAGTTAGAATACGCGTTGGATTCTAGTCTCGGAGATTCGGAAATAGTTAACAACTGTTTGGTATTTGGTTCCGTAATATCCTTAAAAAGATGCAGAATTAGGGTCTGAACCACATATATAGCGAAATAGGTTCTGTTAAAAAAAGTGTTTAATTTTTGCACAATTTTTTGTATAGCGGATTTTGCATGAACCCACATACGATTACAAAAAACAAGCTAAAATGGGCGCAATGGATAAACATATCGAGCCTAATTCATAAATAGACAATGATACAATACTGCTAGACTCTAGAGCAGTAGTTCCTAACCTTTTTTGCATATTTTACCCTTTCATCAAACAAGATTACACGATTTACCCCCAATACAGCCATTAGTGATCTTCAATTAAAAACTTCGTCAAGCAGAGTATAAAAAGCTCTAACTTTAGAAAGAAAATCTCACTCCCCAGATTCTATCTATTCATTTACCCTATCTTCTCCTCTGCATTGAGCTGTAGTTCGGCGTGAAAAAATGGGAGCGTGGGGTTCGGTGGAAAAAGTTCCATTGTTTGAGGTGCTTTCTCTCCAAGCATCAACGTAACACTTTCCAATATACAGGGTCAGGCGGGTTTCACCAAGCGTATTTGCCTTTTTTAGCTTTTGCCACATACAAAGCAATTACAAACAGGACAATCTTAACCTAAGAATAGAGTAGGTTTTATGATATTGTTTGAAAAGATTTTCATGCACATAACACACTGGGGAATGAGTAGACCAGCCAGTGGCGGCGCGTCAATAGGGCCAACCGGGGCAATGCCCCGGTTGTTTTTTCGGTATAATAAAAAATATTCGAAAAATACCTCAATATCGGTTGCACAGACTGTCTACACTAGCCATTTTCTCCCGACATGGTTCATTTTTCGCTCGCAAAGCCGTCGCCGAACGTCGACGGGGCGACGCCGATTTTGCCCCGGTTGCTCATTGTATATATATCGTATTCTCTCTTTTATCGTCCACTCGCCGCGTTTGTTTTCTGTTTCTTTTACTAAATCATCGGGGCTAGCCCCGAAATTGTAACGACACAATGCCGACGTTTCTTACAACAACGTGTTGACATATTCACGCATTCCTTCTCGTTCATTGGTTGCTTGAAGAGTTGATAGTTTCCTCGCCTTCGTTTTTATCGCTTGTTTTGCTATTTGAATCAGTTAGAGACCTTTAGTCCATTTGTTTTCGATTTTCCACATTCCTTTTGAGCTCCTAACTTCTTTCCGACCTCGCATTTCTTAGCCTTAGACGTCATAATGAA